TGTATTTTCATTTAATCACATTATGAATTTATAGAATTATTATGAAAATGAACTTATTCTACCTATCTTCCAGAATTAGAAAAGAGCTCTGTAATTAATAGATGGTCTATTGTACTAGTCTGCCTAATAATTAACGGAAGTAATTAATAGATGGTCTATTGTACTAGTCTGCCTAATAATTCACGGAAGTGAAGCCAGAAGGCGATTGTCCCTCATCTAAATGAGTCGAGCGTTGCATAAAGAACAAATTCCCCAAGCACAGGTGAGACTGAGCAAGCTGCCTTGCTGCCCACTCCCCCAAGAGCAGAGAGGCAGAAAGGGCAGTGTATCTAACCAAAGGACAGAGTGGAAAGCTGTAATTTCTCATCCCTTCAGGAAGGGTTTGTCTCCTGCCGAGAGCAGAGAAGAGCCTGAGGAAGGTCAATCTGATATTCTGTGGCTTTTCGAAGCCTTCAGATGACTTTTGAAGCCTTCCTAACTCCATGGGAAGAGGAACGGTGTGTCTTGTCAAGAGGGCAAGTCACCAAGGGCAGTGGTGGCTGCCTGGAGGATTGTTCAAAAGTAGTCATTCACTCCTTAGAAAACATAATTGTGTTTTTATGTACTTTGCACTATGCTAGATGCATGGGCTACAGAAATTGAAGTCCCTCCCATCAAAAAAAGATCCCCTTTTTGAGGAATCAGGACATCTTTGTGAAAACAGACTATAGGAAGAGAATTCATATTGGAACACCTGCCACATTTAGGCACATGGCTGGATACATTATTTCTGTTGTCACATTCAATGATTAGAAAATAAAGGGAAAATAGATATAACTTCCTCAAATGCTCCCTCACTCGAGGTTAAAAATTGTTTCAAGTGTGGTCTGAATCATCTTTGGAAATCTGTACTTGGAGTTTCCAATAGTTCTTCTAGTGATTAAAAGTTACTGCTCTTTCAAAGTAGGTTGAGGGGGCTGGTCTTTGCACACTTCGATATGGAGGACATAAATGACAAATAAATGGCTAGATAGAGAAAATATTTTGTGTTTAATTATTCATGAGAAAAGAGAGCTTTACAAGGTTAGCAATAAAGTATCTCAAATTAGGTTGCTATCTGTTGACTTCTGTAAATCAGTATGTCTATTCCATCTCTACATCTGCCTATCTATCATCTATCTATATGATGGACCACATACTATTATTTAAACAGTAGAATACAGAAGAATTAGATTCATTATTTATTTTGAATTTGATATTTTTATTTCCTTTGCCGAAAGTTACCTCCTTATCTAGTAATGTTATATATAGAAATTAAAAATGAAAACATTTTGACAATGACACATATTTTCTATTCGATCACAAGAATGTGATTTGTATTATTTTTAAATTAAAAACAACAACTATAAAGCAAAAAATAAAGATGCACCAATATGTATCCATTTTTATAAATATGATTTCTTTCTGGTATGAAGTCAACACAGTCTGTAACTAAATATGAAACTAGCCCTTCTGTGATAGGCTATAAAGAGGGAATTCAAACACAGCGAACACTCTCCAGATTACTTAAGCACACAGACTTAACACGTAATCTTCCTAGCATATACGGAATTCTTTTTGAGGCATATCAATTGCAGTACATGTTATTCTGATGTGGAAGTAGTCACTGTTTACACAGCCTCCATTAACCCATTTAACCTTTTCCTTGAATTGTTAACTATTTTGCACATCAACAATAAGAACTTTTAAATGGAAGCCAAAAAAAATCTACTTAAAACTTGTTTTTTTTCCTTAAAAGCCCCTTTCAGAAGCTACATTTAATAAAGCTTCTTTGATCTACAAACCGCCCCTTAAAAATTTTTCATGAACAGTTTTTAACATTTTTAACATGAATACTAAAGATGCAGTCTAAATGTGTGTTCCTATTTCTGAAGGCTGCATCACTGTGACACAGGGAAAAATGTCAGGATGAGAGGACTCTCCAAAGGAGCTGGAATTATTTGGGTACACCATACTCTATACTGTGCATGGAGCATTCAGAGTCTCATAGGACCCTGGGTTTCCATGGTTTGACACACTTTTACAACTTTTACAGGTGTTAGATGTCTGTCTTCCTTTCTTTCTTTTCTCTCTCTCTCTCTCTCTCTCTCTCCCCCGCCCCCGCCCCACACCGCCCCCCACCCCCGTCTTTCTTTCTTTCTTTTGAGTTTCACTCTTGTTGCCCAGGCTGAAGTGCAATGGCATGATCTTGGCTCACTGCAACCTCTGCTTTCCAGGTTCAAGCAATTCTGTCTCAGCCTCTTGAGTAGCTGGGATTACAGGCATGTGCCACCACACTTGGCTAATTTTGTATTTTTAGAAGAGACAGGGTTTCACCGTGTTGGTCAGGCTGGTCTCAAACTCCTGACCTCAGGTGATCTGCCCTCCTCGGCCTCCCAAAGTGCTGGGATTACAGGAGTGAGCCACCGCGCCCAGCCCAGATACATCCTATCTATAATGACAGGATGTGGGGCTAAACATCCACCCACCCCAGCCTGTTCCTCCTGGGAATCAGCAGACATACGCAGCAGCAACATTCTGACTGTGGTTTTCGTGAAACTTGGCTGCATTATTGAAGACAGTGAGTTGTGTTGCTAACAGTGTGGTAAGCTGCCTGGTGATAAAGAAGCTACCCAGCTTGAGTTTCATGCAGTCATGTGTGATGAACCCGTTTCTCTATGGGCCTGTCTGTGGGTTGCCTGGTGGTACACTGAGCAGAAGGATCCCGAGAGTCCTCACGGCTCAGTGCTCCCTGCAGTACAGAGAGTAGCCAGAAACTCACTTCGGCTTGAGAGCTGAATAAGCATGACATCAAGATTGCAGAGTAAAAGCATATAGGCATCCTCAAGACCTTGTTTTGGCAAACTGATTTCTTTTCTCCAGTCCATTTTATCGTGTTTTTTTTTTTTTTCTTCCAGTTGATTCTACCTTCTACCTTGTATTGTTTTGTTAGTCTCTTCCTCTCAGGAAATGTAGGATGCAGGTCCAGGCCCCTGAGGAAATGCCACAGGGTTAATTCTTGATTCCTTTCAGCCTTTACTGAAATGTTCAGTTTTTAAATCAATTAAAATATTACTAGGAAATGACCAAATGAAGGTGCGGAAAAAATTAGGGCAAAATTATATTAATTTATGATGGAGTCTAAAATTTCTAAGAGAGATTATTTTTATCTACTTCATTATAGAGGACAATTCATCACCAACTTCATTTTAAAACTCAGGGTAAGTTCTGCAGTACTTTGAAGAGCATATTAATGTAGTTTTATATGACTTCAGAAAGGTATTTTAGAACTCTGTTCTTCTATATCCATTTCCATCCACCAGCTTTGTTTTCTTTGTGCAAATATCTAGGCCAAGTCTCTTTGAGAATATAAAAAAGGAAAAATTAAAAACTAAACCTATAATCTATAGAAGAACTGCGGAACTGAATTACTTTGAAAGAAAGCTTCACGTGTGTTTCCCATTTGGGCATTCACAGCATCTGCCTTTCCCCGTCCCCCCCTCCACAAACCCATCTTGTTACCCTCATTTGGATGATGAGAAAAGTCACCAAGTTAAAACATTTAGGCAAAGGAACAAAATGTCATTGCAGCTTGTTTTTAATTTCAGAAAAGGGATAGAAGCGGTCTTCGATCAATCACATTATAAATGATGGTGGAGGAATTCTGAGACAAGAGAGTCCAGAATAGTCATGGGTATGGATTCCAGGGAAAGTGCTTGAGTAAATTCACAAAGCGTCATACCTAGAATCAACATTCATGTATCAGCCTCCCAACTCTGCTCACTTGTTTCCTCCACAGAGCTACAGTGAACCTGTTGACGTGAAAACATCTCAACCTCCTCAGCTGATCAATTCGAAGCCATCGGTGTTCCATGGGCCCAGCCAGGCCCACTCGGCTCTGTACCTAAGTTCCCACTATCACCAACAACCAGGAATGAATCCTCACCTAACCGCCATGCATCCTAGTCTCCCCAGGAACATAGCCCCCAAGCCGAATAACCAAATGCCAGTGACTGTCTCTATAGCGAACATGGCTGTGTCCCCTCCTCCTCCCCTCCAGATCAGCCCACCTCTTCACCAGCATCTCAACATGCAGCAGCACCAGCCGCTCACCATGCAGCAGCCCCTCGGGAACCAGCTCCCCATGCAGGTCCAGTCCGCCTTACACTCACCCACCATGCAGCAAGTAAGTATGGTGGGTTTGGACTTCAAGTGAGCACCCCTATTCTGAAGTGTGGTGGCGGGGGCGGGGAGGCTTTTTATTCAGCACAGGATGGGAGATATGTGTTTTCTGTCCTTCTATTTAAGTCAAGAGAGCACTAAAGATACTCAACAAATATCTGCTTTCTGCAAAATGTAATTTACAAGTGGTGAGTGCGTGTGGCATTATGCCATCACAATTGACAGTCGCTTCTTTTCATAATCACTGGCTTCTTTCCTGTGATATCCATTTTGCCTCATGTTTCTAATCATTCTTCTTGTTTTCTGTTTTTTGAGTAAAGTACATTTGTTATTTTAAGATACGAAGTGCTGCTGAATCTCTTCGGAATAGAGAATTCTACAACTTTTCAAAAACTATTGTTTGGAGATGAGAAAGTCTTGACTGTTATGCCTCCTGAGTCCAGTAAATGCTAAAATATCAAGTCAGGTCCAACACCAGATCTGGTAGAACCCCTGAGAGTCCTAAGAACTGAACATTTTAACCAGGGATTTATTTAAAAATGGATATCTGGCTTCTGCATAAATTAAAAAAAAAAAGAAAAACACAGGCAGTTTGGAAGCCTCCCTACCCACTCCCTGATTATTGAAACCATTTGTGTGCAATTTTAGATTAACTTTTCTTTGAAATCAAATATTCCTTTTGGATTTTGGTGTTATTTTAAAGTTTGAAAATTAGGCTCAAACAATATAAACTAAACCGAACAGAAGGCCTCCAAAAATCCTAAAACTATTTTTTAAATTTTATTTTAAAAAATAAAAGCAGCTTTGCGCATTGGCAGTATCACAGCCAATGAGGTTTACCTGAGGTGCAATTATTGCCAATTGTAAGCTTCTCCCAGTACCCTGGCATGACAACTTGCAGTAGAGTTGACATTGGCAATCTTTTATGGTCTCTATGGAGACTGAATATAATTTTTTTAAAAAAATAAAGTCAAAATTACAAATCACATGAAATTCAGGTGTCACATAATCCAGTTACTCTGTTGTTCTTCAAGCTGTAAGGATATAAGGCAAACACAGCTTTTCTATGGAATTGATGTCTACCTCTCTGTGGAATTTGAATCTATAGTTGGACTGGGGAGATGGAGAGAAAGGAGAGGCAGAAAAAGAAGTGAAATATACATAGTCCCAAATTCATTATTATTATTGTTGCCAGGATCTTTGAGCGCTCACAATAACAAACCCAATGCTTTTTATACACCACCTCGTCTTTGGTTCTCAGAAGACTTCCAGTGCAGGTACTAGCATTACCTTCCTTTAGAGGAAGACACTGAGGCTTGGCAGAGTTAGGTCATGTGCTCATAAGGTTAGAGCTGGAATTCAAACCCAGGTCTGTTCAAAACTCAGAGGCTGGATTCTAAAATGCTAGGCTTGCTGCATCTCATTCATAATCGGTCTTGTAGACTCTTAACTCTTTCATATGAGAAAACCTGTTTCTCCTAAGAATTCAAAGGATCTTTAAATTCTGGTGAGTACTATAATCAAAATCATTATGAGAACAAAGGGATTCATCTTACTGAAGTCTTTCTTGGTCCTTAAGCCAAAGATACGGTTAAGCTATGAAAACTTTCTTATCTGCATTCAACAGACCAGTTGTCGATTCACTGGTGAACAAGAGGATGTGGAAAGCCACTTCCCACCACCCTACCTTGTCTTGAGAGGTTTATGACCAAGTTATATTCTGAGGGTTCAATTCCTACCCTTCCCATCAAACATCACCTTCATTTAAAGGGGTATTCCTGGGTATCCATGCATCTTAACGAACGAGTAGTGTTGGCATGAAGAATCAATGGTTTGGAGGATGCCACCCTTGGCTGGTTGGTTGACCCCTGTTTGAGGGTGCTGCCCGGCTAAGGACCCATGTTTTGCTTATAGCACTATACTTGGGGGCTGTTTCTTCCCAGAGTTAAGAAACCAAAAGTTCAGTTTCCTCACCATGCTGAGGGCTGGAGTTCTGTGCAGAGGAGATCTTTTTTCTGTGTTATCCCTCAGAGATGATTCCTTTTTCTATTTATGCTAACACTAACACTTTGGATGATGCGGCTGTGATCCTGAGTAGTTTTCCAATATTTCAGATATACATAAGGCCACACATAAAAATCCAAGAGATTTGTCTTTCCATAAAGAATCTTAACTGAATAAGAAAAAATAGAACAGATTACATTGGGCAAGTTATTCGTTATCCTTTCAGTCAGTTCTGTTAGTGTATCCCAAAAAGTGTGCTTGCTGAGATGGGAAGACCTGATTACAATGTACCCAAATGGCATAAACCCAAAGCGGAGAGTAAATCACTCCAAAGACTACACTGACTAAGAACTCTTTTAACAATGCCTTGATCATGGTAAGTAGTCAAAATAATTGTTGAGTAGTGAACAAATAAAGAAATAAATGAACAGTAAACGTGTTTCCTCTGTTAGAAGAAATTAAAGTTCAGGTTGTAGATTTCAATTTCAGTTCCTTGAAAGTTTTTAAAAATGTAGTTGATTCAGCTGGGTGCAGTGGCGCGTGCCTGTAGTCCCAGCTACTCAGGAGGCTGAGGCTGGAGGATCACTTGAGCCCAGGAGTTCTGGGCTGTAGTGCGCTCTGCCAATCGGGTGTCCACACTAAGTTCAGCATCAATACAGTGACCTCCCGGGAGCAGGGGGGACCACCAGGTTGCCTAAGGTGGGGTGAACTGGCCCAGGTTGGAAATGGAGGACATCAAAATTCCCATACTGATCAGTAGTGGGATTGTGCCTGTTGAGTAGCCCCTGCAACATAGAGAGCCTGTCTCTAAAAAAATAATAAAAATTTTAAAAGTAAATAAATAAATAAATCTTTTAAATGTAATTGATTCCAAAAATATTAATTAAACCCGTAACATGTACTGGCACTGTCTAGGCTCTGGAAATTGAGTGATGAGTGAGAACAAGTCATGAGACCCCTCCCCCATGGAGTTGGCAGGAGAGGGATGGCAATGGTTATACGATAAACATATAATGAAGGTCCCATGAAAAAAATTAAACTGGAAGACAGACTGCAGGGTGCATGGAGAAAGGACGGCAACTTTAGCTAGGATGGACAAGAAAGGCCCCTCTCAATCATTGGCACAATGACCTGAAGGATGAGAAGAGGAAGCATGTTTAAATACTGGAAGGTGGGAAGGGTGTGGAGGACCTTCCCATAGACAGCAGCAGCCAGGAAAGGGGACTGTAGGCCAGGAGAGCCAGTCTGGGGAGGAGCACAGGAGTTTGGACCCAGCCTAGAGATGGGAAGGAGGCCAGCAGAAAGCAGGGGAACAAAGAGAGAGGTAGGGGTAAGGTCAGAGTCAAGGGCAGGGAATTGGAGTGGGATCCTGCAGGTGAAGGGGACTGGTATCCCCAGAGAACTGATCATCCTAAAATCGAGGTCAAAAAGGGAGTCCACTACCCCTTTTTGATCCTGATTTACTGCTGTCACTTCATTTATTGCTACCGCCTCAGTCTGTTGGGGCCCACATTCGAGTCATCAGTTAGTCTTCAACCTGGAGATGCAGACCCGAGTTGTGGATAAAATGTGACCTATCTGATTCATCATTCAAACCAGGAAGATGTCTGCTTCCTCATGTGGGGGCCATGTGCATACCTCCAAACACACATACAAGAGAAAGAGACAGAGAGAGAGAGAGAGAGAGAGAGAGAAGAAAGTTAACAGCAACTGTATTTTTAAAATAATGTCTCATATCCCAATATTACTTTAGCTATTTTATTATCCTTTTGAAAATGAATGTATCCTACAAAATGATTGCGTAGTCTGCCAGGAATAATAGTTTCATTTTTTTCTAGAATAATATTTTATACACTGAAACCATGGACCTGTGCTTTTTTTGTCCAGTTTTCTTCCTTTTTCTTCTGCTCACGAGATTGTTGAATGAGGTCAAGAGAAAAAAATCATTAATATCTGTCAACTTCCTTTATAACCTTAAGAAAAAAATCTTTGTATGATATCACACAGACAGATTTTCAATTTCCTTGTGTAATAAACAGCTGCTTTAGGATTTGGGTGTAATTTAAAGGTTTAAAAAAAAATCACATTGAGATTGATGAATAAATCAGTTGTGAAGACAAAAACATTGATGCCTGTTGAAAATACCTCTCCAGACAGGCAGGAAATGAAATTAGTTCCCAGTAAAGTGTGGATATGAGGATCACTGTTTGGTTGTGCTGCAGGCTTTTCCGAGCTTGCTCTGGTGGCACAACAGAACTGCGAGGGCTACAGAAATCTAATTAAAGAGCAAATGTCCCTTCTGACATCAAATTAATCTTTATCATGTTTCCTATTTTTATTTCAATCTGGCACCAGAAAATGAAATTTAAAATTCCAGGCATGCTTCAAAACAGTTGGTGATTTTTCTCCTGAGTATTAAAATGCAGAATATTCCGTCTTGTTTAATTAGGCTGCTAAGCAAACATTTTTTCAAAAAAGGTATATCATCATGTTGTTTCATATTTACACCGATAATCAATTTTTACTGAGTGCTATGTTTTGACCTCAGCATCTCTTTTAGTGTTCAGAGGAATGTGTCGTTTTCTAAATTGAAAGGAAGTAAAATAATGTGAACTAATATTACTGCAGGCTTTGCTTGTATTTTTCTCGGTCCTTATTTTGATATTAGTGATCTTCTTAAAATAGACCATTGAAGTTAGCTGAAGTTTAATTCCTTGAACTTTGTAGCTACCACATAATTTGGGCTTTGTAAACTGAAGTCATGCATTTAATCTTAAATTAATAAGTTAATGTTTTCTTATTATTTTCTCACCCAATCTGAGGAATTTTTTTCATTGGGGAAAAAAATGGCAGTTTCTGTCGCCTTTGTGTGGGGAAGGAATGGACATTCTTGTGTGGTTTCTGGGTTTTTTTGTTTGTGCTTGTGTTTTGCTTTTTCATATGTTTTCACGCCATCAACTAAGTCACTATATTCTCGACTACTCCTGTTTTGAGACTTTGGCCTTTTAGGTTACATTTGATGAACTGTGTAAAAATCCAACATGGAGACCGAGCGTGGTGGCTCACTCCTCTAATCCCGGCAATTTGGGAGGCCATGGTGGTAGAATCACTTGAACCCAGGAGTTAGAGATAAGCCTGGGAAACATAGCAAAACTCTGTTTCTACAACACAGACACACACACACCAAAAAAAATTTAGCAGGGCATAGTGGCAGCACCTGGAGTCCCAGCTACTTGGGATGTTGAGGTGGGAGGATTGCTTGAGCCCAGGAGGTCGAGGCTGCAGATGGTGCATTGCACTCCACCCTGAGTGACAGAGCAAGTGTCTGTCTCAAAGCCAAAACAAAACAAAATCCAATATGGAGAACTTTACACTAAAAAGATTAGGGTTGTCTGCAGTGGCTCACACCTGTAATCCCAGCACTTTGCGAGACCAAGGTAAGAGGATCACTTGAGCCCAGGAGTTCAAGACCAGCCTAGGCAACATTGCAAGTCTCCATCTCTACAAAAAATAATTAAATTAGCCAGGCATGGTGGCACATACCTATAGTTCTAGCTACCTGGGGGGTCCAAGGCTTAAGGGTCATGTTAGTCTAGGAGTTCGAGGCTGCAGTGAGCTGTGATCATGCCACTGCCCTCCATTCTGGGTGACAGGGCAAGGCCTCATCTCTAACAACAAAAAGATAGGAAATCCCTGACAGCTAAACATTTATATAATCTATACCTTTCCAACAGTAGCATCAAACTCTCTGCAATGAACTTTACTTATGAAAAACCTGACTTACTGAGCCACTACTATGGGCTAGGCCCTGAAAATAGGAAGTATTTGAAACACTCACTGATCTCAAGATGCTTACAGCAGCCTTGTGATGAGGCGGAGTAAAGGAAGTCAAAACAAGGCTCCTCTCAGAGTTTTCTCCTGCTCTTCACCCAGCACC